TATACTATTTATTTAAAGAAAAATATCCGTTTTGCAGGGGAGGCTGGAAGTAAAGGTGCAGATAGTTATGGTGCTAGAGGTGCCAATGCTTACCATGCTGGAAATCTTGCAGGTGGATATGATATGGGAGATGTAGATGGCTATGATATAGAAGATGCAGGTGGCTATGCAACAGGAGATGCAGGTGGTTATGGTACATTAAGAAGGGCTAGTCAAGGTAAGTGACAGTACATTATGTTTTGTAAATTTTTATATTATCGATTTCTCTTAGCAGCTACCTAGTTTAAAGCAAGAAAATAAATTTATGATAGAAAAGATGCATTTTTGAAATATCTTTATAACTTATGAACAATAAGATGTTTAAATATGAGTAACGAAAATGCTAAACTATATTAATGCTATTTAGTTATCAGATTTTTCCATACCATTATGGAATCGTAGCGGCCCTGTTTCTGTCTTAATTAGGGCGATTACTTAGTGCGATATACATAACAAAATTAGTGGCAAGATCTTTCTTTTTCTGGATTGAATTAAGATTTACTTCCTTATTTGTAGGAGGGGAGTATCAATAATTTGTAAATGACTAATTCAATAGTTTAGTCAGAGCCGCGATGGAACAGGAGATAGAGCGTTCGCCTCCCATTAACGTGAAAAGGGTTCGAATTCTAGTCGATACGAATTCCGCATCCGGCTTGCACCGACCACAGTGCTGACGTGAAATATCCTTAGTGGTAGACAGATCCTTTGTTAGAGTCCCTTTGCCGTTAGGCTAACCGTGGGAGGTTCTCGTGGTCTTCCTCTCCATCTTACGCAAATGCGAGTTAGCTCCATCAAGAAGTCCTCCACTAAGGCAAATTTCTCCCAATGCTCGATCCAGGAGTTCCCTTGTCTTCCGGATTGGGTTCACAATTACAAGGCTGCGTAGTTGAACATTAACAGTCATAAAACCATGAAATTGGGTCAACTGTTAAGTGACGATTATAAAAAAAACCCTACTTTAACATGTTCAGAATATTTCTACTTATATTTTTAATCACAGGTAAATAAAGAAAAAAAAAGAATTTTAATTTCTGATAGGTAAAAATTTTAAATTTCATGTTGTACGATTGTTTTAAAAATGTATAATTTCTTAAAAATAAGATAATTTATCTGAAAATTTGGGGTAAATAATTTTCTTTTAAATTCACTTTGATTAACGAAGAGTGTAAGTGCTATTTATATGTTTAAAAAGTTATCAGAGAGAGTTACAAGTGTAAATGAAAAAAAAAACTCTTAAGAAATTAAATTCTCTTGCTTTGATTTTGCTGACGTGTGGTCTTATTATTTAATTTTAAAGTTACAAGATAATTTCAAACCTAAACTACAAAAATTTTCGAAAGTGAGAGATGTTTTCAGGTGTCACTTATACATGGATTACATTTTATTAAAAATATTGTTGAATATTAAACCACAATATTATTAAAATAGTACGAACACTTCATAAAAATAAGCTACTCAAATCTATCGCGGGAAAAATTTCCGCATGATTATTTAATTTTATTTAAGCATGGGTTTCATTGTAATAATTTTGCAGCACATAATGCAAAAAAATGTTTATAGTATATTTGGACCATATTATGGTTCTATAAACAAAAATATTTCTATGTGATAAAATTAAGCAGCTGTTTACAGATAATTTCACAAAAAGAACATTAGGACACATTTAGACTAGAATCTAATGTTAAAAGCCCGAAGCTAATCCACGTAAATCTATAAAGACGTAATAAAACTTTCAACCAAAAATGAACTCTAACTTTTTAGAAGAGGCAATATTGGTTTTTAAGATAAAAATAAGATTTAAAAAAATTGTATCAGCTGTATGGATTTTTTTAATGAATTTTGTCTCAAAATATCCGTATCTGCAAAATTGAAGTTTATATTTTAATTAAAAGAAAATTTTATAAAATACCGTTCAAATTTTTCGTGTGTGTTCTTAAAGTTTGCACACTAAAGAAAATATGCTTTATTTTCCTTCAAAATTATTCATTTTAAACTGTTTTCTTTTTCCTTTAAATTTTGCTTTTCATATGATAAAGTTCGTAACATTTTAAACGTGACATGAAAATTGATAAAATTGAATATTGTTAATATCCTTCATAATAGTAAATCATTATGCAATGTTTTTTCTCTCTTCATAATGGCTATAGGAGGTTATGGTGCTGGAATATATAGAAAACCAAGCGCAGGTACGTATCAGTTTATCTAATTTTACAAATAAAACCCTACATTTTTACACTTATTCTGATAACAATAAAAAAAAGCATTTTCAGTGAGAAAATGGTGATGCTTTTTATGAAGTTTCTTGTTACGCAGAAATTTTTATTAGGTTAATTAGGATAGGTTATTTCATATTGTTCAGTGCAATAGTTTTTGAGAAAACGCATCAAACGTTAGGATTTTGTTTACTAAATTGCGTCGCCAAACATGCATATCTACAAGACTGAATTTTCTAAATTATTAAATGAAAGTTTTATGAAATATTATTCAAATTTTATTTTTATGAGTAATTTATTATACAAGTTTGAATAAAATTATCTTTTTATCATAATCAAACGCTAAAGAAAATGTGCTTTTTTCTTTCAAATCTTGAAAATAACAGTTTAAACCTTTTTATCCCCTAAAACTTTGCTTTTATTATGATTCTTGTAACACCTGATACCTGCATTGATTGATTTAATATATAATAGTTGATAATTGTGTGATTTTCTTTGACAATGTTTATAGGTCGATACGGTTCTGGAGCAAGTGCAAGTAAGTATCATTTTTACAAATAAAAATCTACAATTCTATATTTGTTCTAATGACAGTAAATAAAGAATTTTTTGCAAGAAAGTCATAGACCATGATAAACCGTCTTTTTTAATGTTTGTTGTTATGTTGAGATTAAGTCAATTTGGTCTGGGCAATGTATGCTAAACTTCCATAAATACGGTGTAATGGTTTTTGACAAATCATATCAAACTTTTGGATTTTTTTTTATTCACTTGTGACTCTAAAAATCTATTCCTTTACAGAATTTTATAAAATTTTAAATGAAAGTTTCCAAAATATTTTTTCAAATTTATCTTTTACATGTTATCTTTTATTTATTTTTTGTATAATTGGATTAAATAATTCTTTTGTTGCATTGAAACGTTAAGGAAGGTATATATATATATATATACACGGTGTACCTCACTTTATATTTTTTCTTTAATTTATTTATTTTCATATTTTAAAAAGAAAGTTAATTATCGCAAGGCACTTATTTTATTATTTTTTACTTAGTTTTATTTTCAAATCTGAAAGGCTAAAACAAAGCCCATATTTTAAATTTAAAAAAAAAAGCTTGAAAGGATTTTTTCTACAAATTTTTTTTAGTTCAAAGAAATACAAAAGCAAGTTTTTTTTATACAGCTTTTTTTTCTTTTAAAGTTGCAGTTAAGGCCTAGCCCATGTGTGGTTATTTCACTAAATAAAGTTCGATCTCCGCCAATTCAATAATAAATCCCCAATAATAAAATCAATATCAACGTAAAGAAGAAAAAAAATCAGAAAAACTACATTAAATGTATGCAATCACGTAAAAATGTATGCATAAAGATTGTTGATTTTCTAACCTTTTTGTTTGTTTTGTAAATGTTTATAGATGCATTTGGAACAAGAGGACAAGCGTATCTTAGGAGCAAAAAAGGTTTGTTGATGAATTATATTTTTTCTTTTAAATAAAACCAAGGATAATGATATATATCTACAGTGAGTAAAATAAAAAAATAAATAAAATAAAAATTAAAATTCAAAATTTAGAAGTTCAAATATTCAAAAATTTTAAAATTTTCAAATAAAAGTAATAAAATAATTAAAATAAAAGAAATGAAATAATAAAATAAAAATAAAATAAGAAAACGAAATAAATTAAATAAATAAAAAAGTAAAATAAAAAAATAAATAGAATAAAATAAAATAAAAAATAAATAAAATAAAATTAAAATAAATAAAATAAATAAATGAATTAAAAAATAAATAAATAAAAAACGAACATATTAAATACTTTTGATACTTCGAATTTACATTGCACTAGGGCTACATGACGGGCTATTGGTGACGGTCTGGGAAGCATCCCAGAAGATGATTCTGAAACAACATACATACGTCGCACCCCGTTTTTAACGGGATACATCCACACCATCCCTCTATTTACGGATATTAATTTTGACCTGAACCAGAGCACGATTAATCGGGGTTCCAGTACATCCAGTGGTATTGATTTCTTATGGAACTTGGAGGACTTTGTTGCATCACCAAATTTAGAGTCACCAGTCACCTTTCAAATTTAGTGCACCAGTCACCTTTTTGTAAAAGGGGAGTCTCGGACATAGGCCCGACTCCCATACCTGCTTAGAATATCCCGACCGAACACATTAATTACTTTTGATTTAATGATTAGGTTTTCACGTTTTAAGATACAATCTTAGTCATTCGAAACGTGATGGTTCAGGGGATATAGTGTTCGGTTTTCTATGAAATGAACTGGCTTCAAATCTCAGCGATGGATGATGGGTACGAATACCGCACCCTTCTCGAATCGACCACAGTGCTGCCGTAAAATATACTAAGTGGTAGATGGATCATGAATCAGTTCCCTTGCCATCAAGCTAAATTTGTGAGGTTTTCAAGGTTTTCCTCTCCATGTAACGCAATTGTAGACTGGTTTCATCAAAAAGTCATCCGTGATGGCAAATTTCTCCCAATACTTAATCCACAAGTTCCGATTGCACATCTAAATCTAGCAAAACTTTCATTAATAAATCGTGGTTGAGGTAAAAGAGTTATGAATGAAACAATTTTAGTTTCTCTTAAGAAAATTTTATTATTTATATAAAAAAAATATGTGTTATGTGGATTTTCACATAAGTAAAAGAAAATAATCACTGTATAAATTTTTACTGTGCTTCAGATTAAATTACACATTTTCATCATATCGTCTGTATTTTAAGTTGTGAAAAAAGTTAGTTGTTTTAGAATTGTAATGAAAATGTTAATTTCTATGGCAAATTTGAAAGATATCGTAGTTTGGAGAGAGCGATCAAGAAAGAACAAAATTTGCAATATGAATTTTAATAATAACTAGTTTTTTAAAATCAAAATAGGTATTATTCAAATTTACTAACCCACGCTTTTATTACCATTTGTTTCGGAGCTTAGCATTGGATTACAAAAGTTTTAACTAATATGGTCTTAAGTAAATACTCATGTAGCCGATAGCTAAATCAATAGCTTTAACTATTTATAGTTAATGATGAGTAAATTTATTTTAGTATTTAAACGAAGTACTTAATAATGCAAAAGCTTTGCTATCTTTAAAAGTTATTGAATTTGATTATGCAGATAAGTTTTGAGAGTTTTAAATGAGGCAGCCATTTTAAAGACTGACCAGACGTTACTGTGGAAAACAATACAGTTTTATAATATGAAGAAATTGAAAACGAGACAATGTAAAATTAAAAAAATGATGAAAAACTAAAACAGAAAAACCACGGCAGCTGAGAGAGGCAAACTGATGCAGGTTATATTTCCAAGCGTTATAGAGGGCTTGTGAGGAACTCTCGTTGAATTGTTGATCAGTTGCGTGGGTTGTGACATTTGGTTTTAAAAAGGAACCACATTTTAAGGGCCAGCATAGCCTGGTTGGCAGAGCTCTTGTCTCACGACTAGAGTTCGAATTCAGAAGACTCTCTTTGTAGCAAAATGTGACTGGTGCATGTTAAATCTGTCGGGTCACAAATTCCGCCATGTTCCTGTTACAAATTACACCTCTGGGGGTACTGGATTTGAGATTTATCGTTCTTTGGTTCAGGTCAAAATTACGATCTGTGGATGAATGAATGGGTCTGCTCTAAAAACGGGCTCTGACGTGTGTGTGGCTGAAGTTGAATTCGCCACTGGAAAATAAGAACAATTACGCCCTCTCTGTTTTAACGCCCTACCATAATAACTACAATAACTACCACATTTTAAAAATAATGCTAGCCATGAATGAGTTAATAATACAATGCACTTGGAGCAATATGTCTTTATGTGACTCTTGTGCCATAAACCCTACATTTAATGCTCAATAATACATTACACTGATGACAATTAATTAAGCTATAACATTGCAGCAAACTGTTGGTGTCTCCATGGTTTTTCTTAATTGTAGGCCATCATAAATTAAACTTCTATATATGAAAAGGAAATAGAAATGAATAAATTTTATTATAGCATTAAACATAAAAAAATAAATTTTTTTGGAAAATCCAAAAGGATATCGGTAGATATTCTAAAGAATTGTAAAGAATATATATTATGAACAATTCATTTCCGAATCATCAAGTGTCGTGATTCATAATTTCGTATTTATAGTATCTGTCTCACAGTTATAACAGTTTGCTGCAAGCAATAAAATTCCAGCAAACTGTTGGTGTATCCATGGTTTTTCTTAATTGCAGGCCATTATAAATTAAATTTCTAAATATGAAACGGAAATAGAAAAGAATAAATTTTATTACACTAAATATAAAAAATAAAATTCTTTGGAAAATCCAAAAGAATATCGGTAGATATTGCAAAGAATTATAAAGAATATATATTATAAAGAATCCATTTCTAAATCATCACGTGTCGTAATTCATAGTTTCTTATTTCATATTGATATGGTGAAAATATTTAGGAGTAATTAGGGCCCTATAAATTTTGCGAAAATATTTTGAAAACTATGCGTCTAAGATGCAGCATTTTTTAAAAAAATCAATTATGAGGCTTGGTTGGAAATCACTTAAATAATTAAATCAGAAAAAACAAGCAAATTTGAATAATTGTTTTTTCTATTCAAATTTTTTATATATGTTTAACAGAGCCGTCGTGGCTTAGGGGATAGAGAGCTCGCTTTCCAATGAGGTGAACCAGGTTCGAATCCCTGCAATGGCTGATTGATATGAATTCCGAATCCGGCTTGTACCAACCACAGTGCTAAGGTAAAATATCCTAGGGTTAGAGTCCCCTTGTCATCAGGTTAATCATGGTAAGGGTTCGTGGTTTTCCTCTCCATATAAAGCAAAATGCATGTTAGCTTCATCAAAAAGACCTCCACAATGGAAAATTTCTCCCAATACTTGATCCAGGAGTCCCCTTGTCTTCTGGATTGGGTTCAAAATTACAAGGTGAACATTAGTAGTCGTAAACCCAAAATAGGGTCGGCTGTTCAACGACGGTTATAATACATGTTTGAAAAGCTTCGTCGGAGAGTCAGGGAAAAGTTCTTGAAATTGAAAAAGTTGAAATTGCAAGGTAAAAAACTGTGAAGACAATTTTATCTGATAAATGAAGAAATTTTGCAATCATTTTGAGTATAATTGTAAATTAAGCTGTTTTTTTTCAACTTCAAAATCTTTTTTAGGGTCACATATGATAACTCTCTATTTTTTTCTGGCAACCAATGCTTATGTAATTTTTATTATTTCTGCAGCTCCATTTCTTGTTAGGGGAAAAAGTGTTTCAGCCGCAAAACCTGGAGTGGTATCTAGTGAGTAGATTTGATTTTTCTTTTTTTTAAATTGTTTTCTCTTTTTTGCAGATTTTTAAAATGTGTTTTTTTTTCGTAATTTTTACAGATTCACTATTAAGGCCTGGACTTCAGAGTGGTAAATATGGTTTGTAGAACAATGTTCTTTTTATCAAATAACAATGTTCCTTTTATCAAATATTGAACAATGCTCCTTTTATCAAATGTAGAA